CTCAGAACTGGGCTTGGTCTTCGTCTTTAAGCATTATCTGCATCTCTTGGTTCCATCTTAATTATCCGGTGATAATTTTGGAATTGACAGACTTTCCCTTGTCAAGTCTATTTTGAAAACATTTTCTAAACAACACTGGCTAAAATGATATCTACCACATATTAGCACTATCCTAAAAACTCCTGAACTGAAAAGCTTCAGTTGAACCAAAATGCTACAGTGAAAATACTGACAGGGACTAGAAAGAGAGCAAATTTCTCCTGTATTGGCTTCTTATCACTGGTTCCCTGATAAATCCAGAATCGAATTTAAAATCCTTCTCACCACATACAAGCTCTTGAATATTCAGTCTCCATCTTATCTTAATGATCTCAAAGTACCATATTAACCCAACAGAGCTCTTCACTCTCAGACTGCTCGCCTATGTGTGGCTCCTAGGATATTTAATTCAATTTCATGTATATAGTGCCAAATTGCAACAACAGTTGGCTGCGTCTGTTAATGCTCCCTCGCGTCTCCTCGTTCTCTCAATATTTCCAAAGTGTCTCCAGGTTTTCAGTTTGTTAGGAATTTAGCTTTTACAGTGTATTTTTTTTTAATGTTCATGCTTTGTTGTCAACCATAATAAATGGCTCGCCTGATCGTGACAGTAAGTCTATAGACCACAATTAATCAACCCAACCCGGTGATGTCATGTTCTGTGCAGACTCAGGATGGTGCTAAACTTGTTTTAAAGACTTTGAGCAGTTATTTCTTAAATCCAGAAATAAGACAGACAGTGCGAAATCCATGGCAGTTTTTTAAAGCATAGTACTCCATGTAGTGTTTCATGTCCACTTTAAGTCTTTAAACACACTGCAACTTTGATGAAAACAGTGCTTTCCAAAGTGCAATTTAATATATAAAATTTAGGGCTTTTCAGGACTGAGCCCAAGTTTCAATCAGATCTCTCAAGCCATCCTGCTTCTTTCATGTAAAGAATAAGTTTACTGTATCTCAGGTTTCAGTGTTTCGTGGGCTCTTTAAACAAGATAACTGTCAGTCTACTGAATCTGTTGTGTGCCTTTTGTATTCATCTTACCTGAATAAGAGAAAAAAACCATAGATCTCGAGCAAAACTCCAATAATGGGCCAGCCAATCAACACCACAAACACTCCTCCCAGGAAGAAACTGGTGGCCTTCATCTTGTGCTTCTGGAAAAAGAAGCGGAAGGTCCTCTCAAGGCCGATGACAAAGGAGAGTCCAGCAACAAAGAGAATCTGCAGAGACAAAAAAAAGAGTGGAAACATATTAGAGAAGGGTTCAAAACTGCAAGCACACGCAATCAAGTATCCAGTGTTGTCATCGGCATCATATAAATAGCATCCAAACAGACTGAAAGAAAGCAATTATTTGCACTAGTATGGATGAAAGAAAAAACACTGGAGTTTAATTTTATTGGTTTTAAATGATAATTGTGTAGCCAGTAGAGTTGCCACAAACCAAATGCATGCAAGCGGTTAAGAAACTTGTCCTCTGATTCAGTTTTGGGTCTGCCAGACCTCTTCCTGTTAGAGTTTGTTTCTGAGTGTCTTTTGATGTCTTTTTGAAACTATACTCACTGACACCTTGACTTTCTTTGCAATTTCTCTGTAGGAAAGACCTAAATTTTATGATGGTCTGTCTCTCTTCCATTGTTAATTGCCTTTTTCCTCACCATTTTTGTAGCAACACACTCCAACACTGCTTTTATGCAGACAGAGGGTGCTGTGAGTGATCTAGAAAAGTTGGAACACCTGTAGGAATTAGTAGCACCAGCTTTCAAGGCTTGATCTGAACAGCTTTAAATTGTTAACCCATTTTCTGTTTCCTGAAAAATGCCATCTGCAATTCTGAAATGTGCATTACTTTTTCAGTTTTGGGTAACCTTAGCTTTTTTTTTTTTTTTTTTTAACCTGGCAGTTCATAACTTACCTTTGTACCTCGAACGACTTGAATTCCAATAAATAACTGGAATGTTGTTGTTCTAAACGTTTTGACTGGTAGGGTATATTTTCTGTGCTTACAGAGAATATTAGAAGGAACATTTTTAACCCTGTGCACATTATAGAAAAATCCAAAATGCAATCCTTTTTACAAGCAGCCATATTGCTAACGACAAAAATGATGAATGTCATGATTTTGAACGTGTCAAGTCCATCTATCCAGTGTTAGAGTAAAAGCCTTCAAGCAATACTCCCGGCATGATGTATAAAAAATTCCAAGCAGGTCCTGTTTATTCTGAATTTGTTTCACGTTAGCAGGAAGAAAAGGTCTAAGAGACCTGCAGCAATAAAGCATCTTAAAAGATGCTTTATTGCTGCAGCCCATGTGGCAGGACCCTCTGTCACAAAGACTGCTCAACTGGACAGTGTATCCGTACACTGCCTAACTGCCATTTACATTCAGATCTATGGGAAATATGTCATTAAATAGATTAGAAAGTATGAATTGCAGTCTGGCACATAACTGATTTAGTTTGGTAGCAAAGGCAAAGAGCAGCTCTTCCAATAATAGTCCATCATTAGTTCTATGACGACAGATATTGATATTAGTGTTACAGTGGATATTCAGAGCACTATAAAGATGTAAGCAAATAGAGGCCGTCAGCATCGCAAAAAGTGAGACACGCAGAAGTGAATACATTTTCAACAGCTAAAAAAAAACCAAGAGATCATGTTTGAACCTTTGACCTCTATGGTGAGGTGATTGAGTGCTTCTCTTATGTTTAGCAGTAATAGCAATCCTGTGACATGAAACATTATTGTCCAGATGGGGATGGTCTTTTTCATGATAACATTACCCTCTTTCATGGGATGATTGGGCTCACTGGAAGGTTTATATGTGTTAAAATCACGTGAATCATAATTGCAGTCAGCTGAATATCTATGAGGGATTTTGGATTCAATTCAATTTAATTTTATGTATATATAGTGCCATATCACACAAGAGTTACTTTAGGGTGCTCTATACCATAAGGTTAAGACCCTACAATGATACAGACAAGCCCCAACAATCAGATGACCCCTATGAGCAAGCACTTTGGTGACAGTGGGAAGGAAAATTTGCCTGGGAACAGGAAGAAACCCCCAGCAGGGAGGGGCGGCCATCTGCTGCGACTGTTTGGGGATGAGAGGAGGAAGACATGCTGTGGAAGAAAGTCAGATTTTAATAACTAATAACTAAATGGACCTAAAAAAAAAAGGCGAGTGAAGAAGAAGCACTCAGTGCATCATGGGGAGCCTCAAAGATTTATGGTCACCTGATCCAGCCCTAACTATGCTGTTTATCAGAGACTAAAGTTTTCAGCCTAATATACATAGAGAGGTTGTCTGTCTCCCAAATCCAAACTAGGAGCTGGTTCCACAGAAGAGTGGCCTGCAGGTTCATAACTGAGACGTTTTATTTTAGTTATATTTCCCGTGTAACTGAAATAATGCAAATGTGACACTGCTGAGAAAGTGAGGCACTTTGATGCTATTAATGATGCTGTTGCTATGTTTATGTGAAACTAAACACAGCTGGATCACACTAACAGATTATAATTAATAATAATTGTCACGTGTCACACAGTAATGCATCTGCGTAATCAGAAGTTGCACTTTTAGACATCCTTTGGAACAACAACAACAGGTTACTCACATTTCCAATAGCCAGAAGTGCTTTGTCAAAGAACAGGATCATCCCGAAGAAGAGGAAAAACACGCCGAAGCCTGTTAATCCCATTCCAATCTCTGAAGGACACACAAACCATCAGAGTCTGACATTTAAATCTTAAGATAACATGAAGAGATAATATTTTGTTACACGTTTTTCTACGTCGAAAGCAAACCAATTGGTTTACATCTCGTTACGGACACATTGACAGAAGCTATGCTCTGCATGTCAGAATGTAATCCTGCACATAGTCATAACTCTAACAGACTTATTTCAAATTAAAGCACACGGAAGTACTCCAATAACACATATGCAAACAAGGATGGCAGAAATATCCACAATAAGAATCACAGCAGGGCTTCCAAAGGAGCTCCGCTGCTCACGCTGAATGGTAAAGTTGTCAGAGCGCTTAAAATGTACTTGCACGTAACTCTGGTCGTTCTAGTGGCTACAGCGGATATTATCGGGGGGGAAGCTGCTGGCTATTTGTGCCACTGAATGTCATGAGAGAAAAATGAAAGGTAACTTTCTTGTACTGACAGTGCTAGTTAGCACTTTGAGCACTGCAGCTCAAACTAGGGTTAGCTCAGACAGCAGGAACCTACGGATACACTCAAAAACACAGCTCTTACTTTGGGAGTCCGTTAGAGAAATCATCTTGATAATGTAGCTGGATGAGACAGAAGCAGAACAAAAAAGCTCTTCTCAGAATAATTTTGGATGACAGCTGCCACTGCAGCAACAGCCACGTCTTCCGGAAACACACCTTCTCTCGCTGACATCTTCCGGAACAGCGTCCATGACGCATTCATCTTGGCAACTTTCGTTCATTACGATTATAGTTGATAACATAACCTTCACTAGGACACATATACCACGTAGCTACCCTGCTCTATTATAACACAACATCTGGATTGCACATAGCAGAATATGTTGCAAAATAGTGGAACGTAACAACACATTTGCTCATCTTGAATGTACCACATTGTGCGCGCTTGTTTTAACGCCTGCGTTTGGTCTGTCAGGCAAACAATGTAGAAATGTGTAACTGCCTGATTGCTTTGTTTTCACCCAGACTTTCTAGTTTACCTATTAAACGCCGACTTTATGTATTTAAAATGTGTAATACATTAAAATTGGTTATAGTTGATAAAGGGTGTAAATCGTCCAGCAGGAGAAGGTATTTGCAGACAGCCTAGTGGATTAAGCTCGGGGCGAAAATGTCCCGAGACTTCTCTGATGCATATGCTTCCGAGTTTCTTTTTGTCCGTCTGTCTGTTGTAGCAACTGAGTAGCTGCTCCAACGGGAAGACGTGGTCGTGGATACAGTGTTTTTTCAATGGTTAGTCGATTGAAATTTGTGCGTTTCGAAGTTTTGTCGCAGAGGCTAAATTCACCAAGAAAGTGAAAGAATGAATGACGGTGGTTCCTTTGAGCTAGAGGAGACTGAGTTACTGAACAGCACTCTCCAGGCTCCTGATGCTCATTACTGTAACAAACTAGCAGCTAGCTACAATGCGATCAAACAGGTGCACCGCTTTAGAGTCTAGCATGTTACCTTTATTAATATTCATTATATGTACTTTATGTGCATATAAAAAAATCTGTGACATAGTGTCTTTTACTGCATGTAGTAACCATGAGTCTTTTGGCGTTTTCACTATTTTTCCTCATTTATTATTTTTTACCTATTTAATGTAATGTAATGTAATTTAATTTTACGTCCAGACCTTTGTGCTGCTGTAACAGTTTGTGGGATTAATATTAGTCTATGCCTATTAAGCCTGGACAGCGTAATGAATTTCACGTGGCTGGCTAAGTCTCAGTAATATGGAGTAACTTTTGCTGTAGTTCTGATTCTGAATTTTTAATTAAATTTAGAAGTAAATCGTCTGCTTAAGAAATTACAACATGAACGTTTCCCCGAATTTTAACACGAGTAATAAATTTTAAAAAAGAAAAAAGAAATTACTCCAAGTATTCATTCACAGAAATAAATAGAAACAAAATGGTCTGAACACCACTGATAAAAATGCAGTCCGCTTTACATTCAGATATCTCACTGGCAAATAAAAATGAAACTTATAGATGTAGAAAGACGACCTTTTCTGTCGACTTTATACCGTTGTTTCCGGTCATACATATTATCATACAAAATCATGAAGTTGACTGTTTTTTAAAGTTTATTTTTTATATGGTTTATGTCTGTGACAGCCTGAAAGCTGATTTCCTCCTGAGCACATCAGACTGTGAAATATGAATACAGGTAAGTATTTCTGTTTATACTTTTTAATATTTTTCCAATTAA